AATGTAATTGGTTTAAATGAAACAAAGCAGCACAAAACAAAGGCAAAACTAAAACGCGGTTCATAATTAAATGTGGACTGGAACTTTCTGGTGGGGGGTTTGCCATCTCCTCGTGTACATGGTGGTCTTACTTCTTTGTCTAGAATGTCCCAATGTTAATCTATTTCTATGGCGACAAACAGGTAACACCACCAAGAAAAGTTAGGGCAGTCAAGTAGTAGTATTTTTTGGAGTATCAGGCGCACCAGATTATAAGGCGCAATATCAATAATGTTGAATTCTCTCATCTACTTATAAGGTGCATTAAGCGAAACAAATGGACGACACTTGAGACTTTATTTCCTACGAGGAGGACTCAAATATACATTGAGTAATTATGTGTTTAATGCAGCTTTGCGCACATTTATTTACATTTTACAGAAACAAATCTTAAAACCACATGGCTAATTTACATAAACTATAAGATATTAAAAAAAAAACAGGTCACCCCTCACCTTCTATCGGACTAAAGAACATGACTCAGTGAAATAAATGTGAAAACTGGTTCAAGGTCATTAAGCGCAACCAGAATTAATACATAAGGCGCACCGGATTATAAGGCAGACTGTCGATTTTTGAGAAAATTAAGGGATTTTAAGTGCGCCTTATAGTCTAAAAAATACGGTAGCTAACCAACTTCAGTGCCAGAGACTACTGATGGGGTCCTGGCATGTATTGTAAAAAAAAATAAATAAAAAAAAAAAAAATCAAGCTTAATACCTAAATGTCATTTTTTATGAGGTATGCTGCAGCTTTGACGTAGGAATTGTCAGATCATCCCCAGGGACACCAGCTATATCTATTCTTATATTTACCCCAAAAAGTTCAGGCACAATTTGACATCTGACTTTCCTTTGTGTAGAGCTTGTTCCCACTTAAAATTAGATTAGATCAGACAGAGACTAGAACTCCAAAACCTTCACTTCAAAAAGAGTCCATCCATGTGTCTGTGCTCCAAAGGGCTAAGAAAAATAGGAATGGTGAGGGGTTAATAAAATAGTCGACTAGTAAAAATTTGGGCTAATCACTTGACTAAGGCTACGTTCAGACTGCAGGGCTTAATGCTTAATTCCGATTTTTTTGTGAAATCCGATGTTTTTGCGAGGTCGTTCACATTTCCAATTAAATGCGACTTGTCTGTGACTTCAGTGTGAAAGGTAAACGGCCCGAAAGTGTCCCGCATGCGCACTGGAGGACACGATGACGTCAACCCCATGCGTCAACCGCAGCGAACGTGCTCTGTGTTTACGGAAGTTGTCCAAATATGGTCGCGAGCATTGAGCACCTGGCGATTTTACAGTTCCGGTTTCCGCCTGCTTCAGCGCAGAATAGTGACGTTTGTCGCTTGTTAATGACGTGTAGGTCGGATGGATGCGCTTTGGCCGTTCAGACTGAAGTCGCATGTCAAAAGATCAGATATGTATCGGATTCAGGACCACATATCCAAGTGGCCTGGGTCGCATTTGTAAAATTCGGATCTGTGCCATTCAGACTGTCACTAAAAGATCGGATACAGGTCACATAGAAGCCAAAAAATCGGATTTGGGTCACTTCAGGCTGCAGTCTGAACGCAGCCTATATGACTAGAGGATGACAGACTTTCTAAGTTGTCTGAGAAGTAGTTGCACCCAGAGACAAAACTAAAACAGGAAACGTCTACAGCTGTAAACACATCTTACACACTTGGCTGCGCTCACTCTGTCCTCAAACGCTAATAAACTTGGACAAAGAGAGAGAGTATATTTTAAAGAGCCTAATTGAGCTGTGAGCATTAAGTCCAACTCTAGTATGTTAATGAACTAAGTGAGAAGTGATAGTGTCCGGCTGCCTCATTAACTGGTGCGATTTCACTGTGTTTGGGCAGTGATGGAGGAGACAGGTGGGGTTTGCTAAAGAGCACGAGGAAAAGGACGGATCGCTGGCATTTCAGCTGGCCTCTCAGGACTCAGGAGCGGGTGCAGAAAAGTGGCGAAAGAGGAAGTGAAAAGTCAATATATTGTAAAGGTGCACAGTGTAACTTTTCTGGCAAAAGGCCTCCAATGTTGCTTGCTTCTGTGGAAATGTTTTTGCTTTGCCTGCAATTCTTCAAAGTATGGCATAGAGAAGCAGGAGATGCCACCAGGCCAATTTACAGGTCAGATCTGTGGATAGATGACCCCACTCAGTGAGAATCCATGTTTTTAAAGGTATTTTTGAGCAATAATTGAGTAAATACACAAGTTTAATGCTATATTGTGGAAAATTACAAGCAAAGCTACAGCATCTCACAGTAGTGGACCCCCCAACCTGAAAAGTTACGCCTTGCACTTTTAAAGGTTGAATATTATGAAAAATTGACACTCAGTCATGTTATAATGTTGTTACTTCTCATAAATGTACAGAGCACATACAGAACATGTGTGAAGAAAAAAAAACACAAGTCCAGGTATGTTTGTAATGAGGAAACAACATTATTACATAGATCAGAAAATAGAGCAATATGGGACCTTTAAGTAATCGGCAAGTTGAATTTTGTTCAAGAGCAGTGTGATGTTTCACAAGAGGGATGTTGAGATAGGTAAACAGGAAATAACATTCAGCCAGTGGGAATTTGTCAAGTGGGGTTTGGAGTGTTGTGCAGAAACCATAAAGTTACTGCAGGGTTCACAGGCTCCACAGCTGAACTTAAGTGTACAAGCAAGGCACAGAATATGGCACAGTTAAAATTTAGAGGCTTTGCACTGAATCTTCAAGTGTAAGGGAACTGCTCTCAACGTCAACTGAAGATTTACAGTGTCTGAGTCTTCTCTCGCATGTAGGACTGTAGGTGATTGTGTACAAGTTCTCACATTCTTAACACAATAAACACAAGGGTAGGGATGGACGATATGACAAAAAATATTTATCTTTTTTTTATTATTTTTTGCACACACTGGGAGATTACAGTAGCTGCACAATAAACCTGCTTTGCGAGCAAGAAAGACAGCAGTAAACTTGTTATAATTATCGTCAATTTAAAGTTTTCAACAATTCGATTATTAAAAACACAAATTCATCTAATTAATTCAATTAAATGCAGAAGGTATCCATGGACATGTTATTGCTTTGCCTGGTATGTTCCACAGTCTGGCATTTAAAAAAATATATTTTGCATTCGCTCAATTATGGTACATGTGTTTTTATTGCAAAAATGTCATTGTTAAAATTCAAAGTTTCTCTTCAAAGTCAGATAGAGGACCTCTGTCTAACTCTTATTGTCAAACTCAGGGAAAGAGTCTTGACACAGGGCCAGAGCTGCACCTGCCCTGAGCCCTCAGACCTGAGAGTGCTGACTCAGAGCTCCACAGACCTGACTGGGGAGTTTACACCGGAGGCCACATCTAATGAAGGATAAAGCAGCTCTCATCAGCAAAAGCCAGAGGTGTCAGGCTGAAAAACACATGTGACATTCAGCAGCACTAATAGAAAGCTGAAAATAGTTGAACTAAGTATAATGTGATGATTAACTGGTCCTTGACAAGTGGTTCAACAAACTATGGGGCTGTCAAGTGATCATGTTATAATTCTACACCAGGTCCAATAGAATTCCAGCCTCATTCACAGTAAGAGCGTTTTGACACATTTTGACCTAGTCCATCATTTTTGGCAGTTTTAAAAGGTTTGACTACAAAGAAATACACTCCAGTCCCACAAAATACAGAGCAAAGGATCATGGTCTATAGAGTTTTTCTGACACAAATATATTCAATCAATCATTTTTCATAATTTATCTTACCAAAGATATGTCCAAATGATTCAACCTCACTCCTATGCCTGTACTTGTTTACACAGTAATAAACAAAACAGCACTACAATCAGAACTGTACCTGGGTTGCCAGTGCCTAAACTGCACATAGGACACATACTAGTACAAGAACCTCCAGAGTTCACTCACTGAGCTGCAGAGGCGGCACTAGCACAGTTTAATCATTGGCTGTCGGTGCTGGGGTTTAGGTAGTGACCATTCAAATCAGAGAGAGCCCATTTGGGTTTAAAACAACTGGATTTCAGCATTGAAACAGGCGATTCAAATGATGGATTTATGTGAGGCTCATTCTGCTTCCTGATTGTATAATCTCTAGAGAACCAAAACAATAAATTATGACAAACAACTTGGCCATCATGTCCAATGTTTTTGTAATTAAGATTAAATCAACAATACAACTGTTCTCAGTAGAAGCTATATTTGATTTGGAAATGTTTATCATCTCATATCTGGGGACACCGTTCAGTCATGTTTATGGAATTTTAATGGGCCTATATTATGCCATTTTCTGAACTATGATATTTTATTTCCTCATTAAAACATACCTTGAGTACCTTGAATTCTGTTTCTCTCAAACTGAAAACACCCTTGTGATGTCATGTGGTAACACAGGAAGAGCTCCTCTGTGTTTTTAGAATCATTTGGATAATTTCAGATCTAGAATTGTCAATCTCTAATGAAAAAGATAAAAGGTAGCTGTTAACTTGAAAACTACCACTACATAACATCACAAGGTGCAACAAAGCATTTTGAGCTTTGGAGATGTAGTCAGACATTTTTACGTAATATAGGACTTTTAAAATCTAAATCTTACATGCAATTCCTTTAATCTTATGACATTTATCTATATGCAGTTATATTTTAATTCACTGGAAATGTCCACATAAGTTCAATTAAAATAAGTTCCAGTGATAAATCATGCTCTCTCTCTCTGACTGCTATTACCCCTGTCCTTGTCCAGCTGCTGTTTCAAGTGTAAATGTCGTCTCCCCTGACAGCGCGTCTCTTCCTCCTCCGAGACTATCCAAAAGGTCACACAAAGCACCTCTCCGCTCAGCCTCCATATTCCTCCATTATTCACTCCTCCTCACTGTCCCCATAACCAAGTCCGCCAGTGTCAAACCTAAAAATGAATAAAATTTGACTGTATTATTTGACAGCGTAAAAAGAAACTCACTGTTCCTCCGACGATTCTGCCCAAAGGATACCACGCTCTTTCATCGAACCAGTTCAGAAATTCGTAGAAGCCATTTGAGGCGAGATGGTGGGTAGATCTGTAGTTGAACCTGCAAAACACCACAAGTAAAGGATTAGAAGAAGAGAATAGAACAATATCCACTTTTAAGGTAAATGGTCACATTTTTATAGAGCGCTTTGCCAACTTCAAGGAACTCAAAACGCTTTACATCAAGGAACACACATTCATACAGCAGACAGGAAGCATGGTAGGTTAAGTGTCTTGCTCAACGACAGCATTCATCTGTCAGAGCTAGAATCGCACCGCCAACTTGTGGGTGAGTGGATCTGATCATTCAACCAGTGATGTTTATGTCAACAGCGGGATTTGAACCACTCTCGAATTGAACAGTGGACTAATACTCTACCAGCTGATCTACTACCACCCATTTTTTAGGTTTTGGCAAAACTGTACAAGATTTAACAACATCTGAAGCCACATTATTTTGAGATTTTCTAAGGGCGTTTAAAGCTGCAAGATTTGTTTTCTCTGCGTGTGCTTCTGGGCTGATGCCAGTGGCTCATAGGTCAGTCCTTGGTTAAAAGAATTGGTGATTTAAAAGATTTTTTTTTTGTTTTTTCGCGGAGCTCATATTTTGCTAATCAAGGCGACATTCATGACCTTATTTTCACATCGCAAGGAGATTGGATATTGTGAAAAATGTCCACGAAAAAGACGATACAAACAAAAAACACAGCAACATAAAAGACTAAATATTCTCAATTTTACTGTTGTTCTATCACATGGATTTCACATCTTACATCTGGATTTTCAAAGCCAATATTAGGCAATTTATTGAATGATGTTATTTTCAATAATTAAAACATATCCAGAGTTTTGTTTCAGTCACACATGTTTAACACACAACCCCTGCGTATTCAGGCTGAGCACTCTGTTCCACCTTGTGATGTCATGTGGTAAAACATACCTTGAGTGCTCCTCTGTGTTTTTAAACTCCATACACCAGTGAAGGCATTGATAATCTCTACAGAAAAAAAGGTAAAAGGGAGCTGTTCATTTGAAAACTACTGCTACATGACATCACAAGGTGGAACAGAGCATTTTGAGCTTTGGAGATGTAGACAGACTAACAATAAACAGTTACTCAAACGTGTGAATGAAACAAAACACAACTCTGGGCATGTTTTCGATGAGGTAACAACATTATAACATGACATATAACTCAATTTTACATAATGTACGACCTAATATACATCCATGGAGAGAGATTTTGCCTGGAATAGTCCACAGAATGGCATTAAACCTATCTCCATGGAGACAAGTAGCTAAAAACAAAGATTACAGAAGCAAAAAAAACAGTAACAGAAAAAGAAAACAAAAAACTCCACTTTCTAAAACATTGCAGTTTAGAAGGCTGTAGAACGTTTATGAAAGAAAATGTGAACAATAACTTGTGTACTTTCTGTTATTTTGATGAAGATTTGAACAAATATCACAAAAAATTGAGTCAGCCAATCTTCATTCAATGAGTCAGGCATTATTCAAGAAACTTTGAGATAATTTCCTGCCAAGTATTGAGACTGCGATTAGATTTGTGATGTCTTTTGTTCAATCAATATTCAGTTCACACGAAGGGCTCATTTTCACATCCAAGAGCGTTACCATTAGGGGGAGGGCTGAGATATGAACTGCTAGAGTAATACAAGATTCACACTCACTTCAGTACATGCTAAAAGTCTACAGGGTTAGCAGGTTTTACACAAAGATCCAATGGAGTCACAGGGACGTTTAGTACTCTCCAGAGGACTACATTCTTGGGTTTCAGTGACATTTCATGTTACCAGTTATGGGTGCCATGTTGAGGACACTTAGCATTCAAAAATCAACTCATATCACCTAAATAATCACCGTTTTGACCATTCAAATTTTGATTTTGTTTTCAGTTAGTCTTACAATCCTCATGTTCACAGTCAAACTTAATCCACATAAAAACAAAAATAATTCAGCAATTCATGTTTCAAAAGATATAAGATATAATATTAATAATTGTTGTAACTGCTATAGCAAAGGTTCTTAGTTTTCATAATCAGGGTATCCCCAGGTTTGACTACCCCAAATTTAAGACTTTAAGACCTTTTTAAGATCACTTGAAGAAAAATTAAGACCAACATTGCACTCATTATACGGGCGAAAAACACCAGATCCAATTCTAATAATGACCAAGCCTAAATATTCAGGGTCTGCGTGTTAAACATGTGTGAATGAAACAAAACACAACTCTAGGTATGTTTTTGAAGAGGAAACAACCTTATAGCATACAGATCAGAAAATAGCACAATATAGACCCTTTACGTGAGCTGAGGGGGGGATGGAGGATTGTAAAATCTGCAGAACCAAAGCGCTGACAGTGTGAAGAGCATGGAAAAGAAACCATATGAAGATGGAGTGATCTTTTTAGACACCTTTACGACAGCGTGTCTCATTAAAGCAGCTTTATGGTGTATATTCTGCACTCAGTTCAAGGCCCATATAGCACCACAAGCACAGAACCTATACCAGCAAAGGAAGGTATCGCCCACGGTAACTCTCAGAAGGAAGACTACCTGGATTGGACAGTACACATAGAGATGAGTGGGAGGGGACATGTGGCACATCAAAGCTTTTTTTATATAAGGTGTTAACAGTGGTTCCAGTTTACAGCTGTAGGCAAATAGTTTGTCTGAAACCTTTAAAATACAATGTCTCTTTCACAACAAGAAGGTACATATATTTCGAGTAAATGAAACTATTAGATTATAGGCATAGACAAATTAGGTCTGTATGTATTACGTTTTTATAATAGAACATCAGTGTAATAGCGAAATGAGTCATGGTCTTATGCGAACTGCAGTAAATGTAATATTAAAAAGGCAAAGTAGAAATAATACATCTTTGGTCCATCACTGTAAACTGCAACATGGTATTAAAGGGCCCATTTTACGCAATTTTTTAATCTGCATTACAATTCCAGGTGTGTTTTTGAAGAGCTAACAACAACATAACATGGCTTAAAGCTTAAGAATCCATTTTGTGTGATATACGACGTTTAATCCCTCTACAAGCATGTGGTTCTTGAATTAGTTCATGTTTCATATTTCTTCTCTCAAATGTTCATGCTATAAATGTGCGCTGTGAACTGAGAGTTGATTTGCAAACATAAATCGCAATTCAGATCCAAAATGCATGCAGCCCAAAGACATAAGAGAAAATGAAGTGCATAAAGTAGCGGCATAGAAGACCAAAGCTCCATCACAAACAGGCCTGGCAGAACTAACTCTCAAATTGAATTGTAGAGAGCTGTTCATATTTGGGTTGTGCCTCTTCTGCACTGGAGATGGACACTCCAAAAATCAGACTGAATAAGAATCTGGAGCTCCCGCTGAGCAGAGAATGTACTGAACCACTGCTGTTTATCTGCTGTGGCCTCTACCTCCCTCCACGACCACTTTCAGATTTCACATTTCTCCTTTGAATTTTACAAATATCTCCCTGAAAGAAAAGCATTGATTCACGGTTTCTTCCATATTTTCAGTGTTATTTTTCTACCAGTCCAGCTCCTGACTGGACAGTTCAAGACACAGTTCAAGATATAGCGGCTCAGGTCTCAGTAAATTTCAGAACTTCAGAAATGTCTCTAGACGAGAAATGCAAATGAAGTGAATTAACATAACTGCATGTAAGAAAGATTTAAAGAGCACATGAACTCAGAAATAGACATCATATATGGTAGAATGGGAGTGAAGAGAGTATTTAAATTCAGGAACCAAAATGTTTCTTCAGCAAATAAGTTTTTTTTTTTCCATTGATGCATTTGAAATGAAAGAGCTCACTGGTCAACATTTACAAACAAAATACTTGATACAGACAGACCATGTGTGCCTCTGATTGGTTAATCCACCTTGTCAATCACACCCACATGAACAGAGGGAGACTCACTGGTGACCACACTCACATCTTCGTGAAGTATTGACAAAGTGTGTAGTCTGGAGCTCAGTCGGTGTTCAGTTCAAATACTCCATGTTATGAGGAATACCAAAGTATTAATTAGTAAAGTAAAGACTCTCAGCCTAAAAAATTGCATCTTTAATAAGGATGTAACGATATCCAAATCTCTTGGTACGATATTATAACGATATGCATCTTATGGTACGATATTTATTGCAATATTTTGAAGAGGCAAATATAATTGTAGATTGGACACTTTTTTGCTTTTAAAATACCTTGACAAGATTTTGGTGTGAAGTATTACTGTCATAATCCCAAGAATTCAAGTAAAAAACGTACATCCTCATGTTGTCTGCACTGAAATGAATCATGCAGTATATGCAGTTTCCTATGTTTATAAGCTGTTGCTACTATAAAACCATGCATTTAAGCAAAGAGACTTGTGATTCAATATATTGTGAGACTTTTCACGATACAATATCAGTTATATTTCAGTTATTGTTACATCCCTAATCTTTAATACTACCACTTTAAACGTGCAATATACTTTGAGGAGGTACTTGGGGTGAACATTTCCAGACTCTTTGCTCTGGCTCAGTGGGGGCAGTCACAGCACCATGTAGCGCCGTGAACGGGACACTGCACTTTAAATCTCTGGCATCAGGAGCACCTCATTTATCATTACAGAGTCAGCTCCTCCACCTCCACCAACCCTCACATCTCACCTCAACCTCCCCTCTCAGTGGGACCACCCAGACTCCTCTTCTCGGCTTAAAGGTTTAACTTTTCTGGTGGAGGGTTCATCAAAGTCTTTTCTTCATGGACTTGTTACTGGTTTGCATGGAATGTTTCACAGTATGGCATTAAACCTTTCTATCTTCATGGAGACCAAACCAGACCAAGTTACAAGTCAGATCTGTGGAGAGGCGATCCCACCTGCAGTCAGAATGCTTTTTTTCCGTATTTCTTAGCAGTAAACCCAACTGTAACTGAATAAATGTAAGGTAGAGTTGTTTTGTGTCATACTTTGGAACATTCCAGGCAGCATAATGACACATCCATAGAAACAAACAGGTGATGGGGTGTGCAAAAATATTGAAATAT